ATCATACTGTATGAAAAGGAAAGGAACAAATGACTTATTTCACATTTTTCAACAAACAACTTCATATTAAACAGCTGCTTTTACATAAAGCCTTGATATAAAAACAGATCATTTATTTTCTATTACCATTTTCCCACATATGCAAAATCCATTCAAACCTATTTATCTTCAGAGAAACCTTGTGTCCTGGGTCAGTAGTCTCATTTTTTAAAAACTGCAATTGAGTCTGGTCTGGGAAGAAGAAACTTGCACATGGTTATAATTGTACAGATAAATGGGATTGAACTTGAGCCCCATTGGATCATTCTCTCCATATCCATTTGTATTTGGATATAAATACTTGAAAGTTGCTCAAAATCATTCTCTTTGCTTGGAGGGCCATCACCCTTTGTGGGTATGTACGTGAGTCTGGGCGTGAAGGTATTCACCTATAGATGAGAATTCTCTCAGGTCAGCTGCCATATCTAAATGTCTATGTATAAATACTAGACAATAGGAATATGGGTTCAAGTCTAGTTTAAACACATATAGTCTACCAAAATCTTGGAAATAGTCATTACACAACACAACTTCAACTTTGTCACATTTTATAGAGAAAGAGAAGATCATCTTGGAACAAGATGACTATATGCTCCCTTGAAAGATGCAGTAGCTCAGTCCAACATAACATGAGCAGATTTGCATATACATAAAAGGAATTTCCTTACTCATTCTCCTCCTCATACACACAACATATATTCTCTAGGGAGTCCCCAAGCCATTCAGAGCAGATTTCAGGAATATGTAGGAAGAGAAATTTGATCTTCCAGCATTTTCCAGGTTTTTTTTTTTTTTTTGTTTTTTTTGCTGATTTTGAGGGAGAGTTTGATCTAGTTAGTGCTAGGACGAAAGGTCACCAAGAAAATCCCAGAATTTAGGCTAGACCGGGAAGTTGAAAAAATAACTTAGAAAAAGACAAAAGCAAGCTGTTTAGATAATACTTCTAGAAAAATTATAAGGATGTGTCCATAATTCACTAGGGAATGCATTTGACTTTGTTTATCCTGCTCATTGAAAGATCCCATTGCTTATTTTCATAAAAGAATTTAAGAATGTTCCTTTCCACAGGCAGGTTTTTACTTGCCCATGAAGATGTGCTTAACATGGCAGTCATGCAGAGAATAAGATAGATAAAAGGAAGAATAACAGTGAGTCATCTTTCAGTCTTGGCATAACAAAGCTGTGCCATCTCTGAATGAGATCCAAAGGTGAAGGCTTGAAAAGCTGTAGTAGTTTTTGAACCCAAAAAATATACCCCAAATGGCACAGACATACCTTATGCCAAAATGCCTAAAGTGAAAGTTTAAAAAGATATATAAATGGAAGTTGCTCAGTTCTTGTCATTTACTTTATGATGCCACTTTTTAGATTAACTCTAGGATTGTACAAATTCATTGTAACTAGGATAGGTTTATAGGTTATAGGTTTATTTCACTTTTATGCCGCCCTATTCCCAGAGGGATTCAGGGCGGCTAACAAACCACGGGGAGGGGATAATACAACAAAAAAAAACAAGGACAAGCGAACAAAATACAAAGATAATTTAAAAGCAATCAACAGCCACACAATTCGACCAGGGAAAGGAACTCATCAGCCCCAGGCCTGTCGGAACAGCCAGGTCTTAACGGCTTTGCGGAAAGCCTGAAGGGTGGTGAGGGTCCGGATCTCCATGGGGAACTCGTTCCAGAGGGCCGGAGCAGAGAAGTGTTCTAGTTTTAACTATAGATTTTGTGCTCTGTTCAGATGATTGGTAATTAAGTTTCATCCTTTCAAAACTTAATGTTATAAAGCCTACCATCTTTGGATTCATTAAAATATATGCTACTGCTAACAAACATATGGTTAAAAATAGGACTGTGGCTTCATTTTCTAATATGTAATGGTATCTTTTTAAAAGATAATCCATTTTCCCCCTAAACCTTTGCAAAGATCTGTTGTGTTTCCAAATACACTCTGTATAGATTTCCATGACTGCAAAGCGCAAAAATTATTTAAACATAATGATACGTCATGGCTATTTGCCATCAAAAACATTATAATCATGAAGCAGGTTTACCAAAGTCCTTTATGATGGATTTCCAAAAAGAAGAAAGCAGGGTCACATTTTGTACAGGCAGGAACTAAGAATCTGAAGAATGCACTCTTGTCTCCAGCCAGTCAGTCTTCAAGCAGCAAGTGTGCTCTTTTCTTTCAATGGGCTGCCAACTAAGATTATCTTTTAAAGAGAAAAAATAGGAACAAAATTAAAAATTAATGGGGAATCATTCTCTTTTCAAGAATCTGTTCTAGAAATCTTTCTCCTACAAAAGATGGGGACAGTGTGAGCCAGACAGAGAAAAGGGATCTTCATATTAGAAAGGGGAGGGGGTAATCAAAGTTTTCTCTTCCTCCCCCCAGGTCTTTTATCATTAAAATCCTATTCTAACAGCCAAATCCTTCTTTTTCATGTGTGTTGGAAAGCAGCTACACCCTGTATCAAAGCCATCAGTCCAAGTGAAGGATGGACTACGGGAGGTGCCACTGTCATCATCATAGGAGACAATTTCTTTGATGGGTTACAGGTCATATTCGGCACCATGCTGGTTTGGAGTGAGGTAGGTGTTCTCTGCAAATTAATATCCAGTAACTGTGTCTGGTTTATAGCCAGTTTTCTTTCTTTTAGGAAATCTGGTATAGGAACAAAGGGAATGCTTTCTAATTCTTCACATTTTAAACAACCAGGGCATTAGATACACTTGTGGCACGTATCATTTTCCCCTGTTTATATTTATGTCTTTATTTATGAAATAAATTATTTTAAAAAATAAATCTGTGAACATACCTGCAGAGTTGCAAATAATCCAATTAGGAATAAATGTCAGTCTTGATCATCCCAAAGGTTCTTTTTCAAACGGCAACTGGACTTGAAGACATTTTGCTTCCCATCCAAGAAGCTCATCGGAAGACCTGAAGAAACTTCTTGGATGAGAAGGGAAACATCTTCAAGGAAAAACAAAGTCCAGGTGCCATTTGAAAAACCACCTGTAGGGCAACATGGCCTGGATGACTGAGAATCCCCATAGACATCTCAGTCAACATCAGAAACGATAGTTCACTTTAATGTAAACTATGGTTTTGTTGATGACCATAACACTTTAGTCCTCAGCCCTACCCTTTCTAAAATAAGAGAACAGTTTTGTACTCTATATGACACTATAGTCATATCATTTTATTTTTTGTTTCTTTAAAATAATTGCTCTGTGCAATTTTCCTCTCTTTTTTAAATTCTACTCCTTAATGTCGATTTTACAAACTGATTTAAAATGTGCTCTTATCTGTTGTTCCCTCATGCAATTACTCAGTCCAATTATGATAAAAATTGCAATTTTAGAAGCAACTTTAATGTGGAAGTACACATGAGGCATAAGCCCATCCCAAATGCACATGATTCAAAATGTACACGATGCGGGCTAATACATTTTACGTCTGTTCATTTTGATGAACAAGCATTTTAGGTGTAGTTCCCCAAATAAGGAGATCTCAGAAGGAAGAGAAATTCCTCCTGTTTGCCAGTGCTAATCTCTAAATGACACATACAAAGCTCCTGGATATGGAGATCTTCAGACAAAAGGCATTTATACAGGCAGTTCAATTTGGCGACATCTGTCAGGCATCAGAAGTTATGGATGCTATGAAAAGCTATAGATGCTGATCTATATGGTGCAGAAACTTGTGGGGAAAAACTAGAATAGGACTTCAAGAGATTAACCAATATGGCATGCTGTTAGGTGCTGTCAAATGAGATGATGCCTTTAGATTTATTTGCCAGAGTATCCTTTTATTTTCCAGAGCAATTTGGAGAGATACTTTCAGTTACTTCATAGTAACATTAGAATTCTAGGTTAAATGGGCATGGACCTGATATCCTATCACAACTTCATATGTTCAAATGTCCTGTTCTTACATAGGACAATTGCAAAATTAGGATTACAATCCTAATTTTTAATCTTAATCCTAATTATAATCAAGCAGGTACTTATATTTACATCACCTATGTAAAATATTATTTGATTATGTATTTCCTAAGGCCTTTGATGTGCTATTTCATATTCCATAATACAACTGTACCATTTCCTTACAAATATTGTTTTAATATTTATGAAATATATCCACACCAAAACCACTGAACAGATGTTAGCTGTGCATTTGTCACAATGAATATCCATACTTATCTTTTGCAGACCTAAGTTCACCCTCCAGATGTGCTTTTAAGGAGCTTTCCCTAAGAGATGCCCCAACCAAAATAAGTTAAAACATCATATATTGATTTTTGTGATTGCAGGATTAAACCCATAGTATTTTTTATTGCTTTTTGACTGAAGAAACAGAACACCAAGATAAAAATTTCAAAATACAGAATTATAAAAGGAAAATAAAGATTTACAGCAAGGGCATAGGAGCTTTGTATTTACATATGGTTATTTGATTTCCATTAAAATATTATAGATCATTTTAGCATGTTTATAAAAATGTGAACTGCATAACATCATTTTGAATTGTCCAGGGATTTGATTGACAAGTAAGACCTGGTAACTTGATAATCGCTATTGCCTTTAGGAGAATATTCTGTTTGTAGCACGGATAATTAAACATGTCAGTAATAGTAGATATTATTCTTTAATATAGTTGGGATTTTTTTTCAAAACAAAGCTAGGCCAGAACAAACTGTGTCTGGATAAGCAAGTAATTTTTATTAAAATCTTACAATTAATAATTTTTAACTTGTCTAGGTGACTGAAATTATCATTACATGACATTTGAATTTTAAAAAAAGTATAGAAATAAATTTCATTCACTTTTCATTGCAGTCCAGAATGAAATACAGCTAAATAGAACTAAATAACTGATGGAAGGAACTGTTAAAATATCGTTATTTGATGCCTTCCTGCCCCTATAAAGTATAACAACTGAATTTAAGAATATATTTAAGAAATAGTAAACAAACCAAAGTTTCATTTCTGAAATAGTATTCTTTTTCTATTTTGCAATTTGCAATGTAAATGTATAATTTTATTTCCCATGTATTCAAGCTTTGTAATTGCAGTATTTATACGCATGAAATGGAAACTGATTATCAAGACATTTCTCTTAAAACGCTATGCTGATTTGAACTTCATTAAAGAAAATAGGGCTTCCGCTAACTGAGCATGTGGAAAATAGGAGATACATGTTAAATATGCTGATTTAAAATGATTTTGGGCTACATACCATATTTATTACTTAAACATATATTTAGGTTCTATAACATAATTGCAACCTTTTTCACTTAGAGGAGTGAATCAGAGCATAATTTGCCTTGCTAATTGTGTATGAAAACACAGATACTTGAGTTTTCAATTAATCTCCAATTAAATTGTCATAATAACCATGATTTTGTTTTTAAAAAAATCACATTTAAAAAAGAAAATTTTGTGTACAAGCAGTCAAGTAGAATAGCGTAATCATCTATCTATCTATCTATCTATCTATCTATCTATCTATCTATCTATCTATCTATCTATCTATCTATCTATCTATGAAAACACACGTAAACATATATATATACATATACATATATACATATACATATACATACATACATACAAAATTTATATACACACACATATATATAATACATACATACAAAATTTATATTTATCTATAACATTAACTTTATATCTCATTATTATTTTGTGCAACTCAAAATGACGTATGTAATGATCCCACATTGTATTTTCTCCATCCCATNATTATTATTATTATTATTATTATTATTATTATTAAAATTATGCTGCACAGCCAGGCTTACAGGGGTTCTTGTTTAGCTCATTATTTAGCCTTTGGTTGCACCATGCTATACCTCTGAATATCCTACACATAACTCTGTTTCATTAAGCCTTCATTAAGTGCAGACAGGGTAGAGAAACCGGAAGGTAAAATTTGGTACATATGTAATCTAAGGCATTTTAATTTCTATGGAAGAATGAATTATTAATGGAATATGGATATTTTAATTAGTTTACTTGGGACTATTTGAGCAAATACTTTCCAGTTTAAGTATAAACAAACTTATTTTATTAGAACTGGTTGCTTCCCCCTTTCTTTACTTCCCAGTTTGGTAGCATCCTATTCTCCCCAGTTTGCTAGCTCCTGTGAATATAGACTGCAATTATCCATTTAAGTTGTAACCAGTGGCTATATTTGTGCATCATCCTAACTCTATTTGGACTTAGAGCTACAAAGCCTTTTCTATGGAAGCTAACCCAGTCTTTTATGATAAATACTGAAGAGGCTAGGAAATGGGTCACTCTTCAGTACCTGCACAACCTCCACGTTAATCATAGCACAGATTTCCTGAACCAAAAAAAGAGCAAAGACAGAACTTGGCCGATAGCTCTGCATGTCACTAATTCGGCTCAGTAAGTCTGCACATCTCAGTTCAATTAACCCTTATTTCCAAGGCCACCCATAAACTACCAAGTAAGCACCATTTCCCCTTGTTTTATATCAATGAAATAGATTTTTCTTTTGGGAGTTGGGGGTGGGGAGGAGGAGGATATTGTTTACTTACTAATGAAGGGTGTGTTTTATCTCCCAGCCTTTGAAACATCGTCTCTTCGATATGGCAAATCACAAGCTTTGACACTGCCAGTAGCTTCTTAATTTATTTGTATCATTAGACGCTCTGGTTGCCCAGCAGGTGATGATAGGGCATCCCCAGTAAAAATGTTTGTATATTCGTGTGAGCATATGCACACACATAGAGAATGTTAGCAGTTAAATAAATATAGAAGCAGAAGAAATCCCCCACCTCTCTATAATTATTTCTCGCATTCATTTTCCCCTCTCTCTCTCGCCGCCTTTGTGCGAAGCAAATTGGAAATCTCGTAATTAGGCCTGACTCTTAGTGTAGTATTAGACTCCCAAGCCAAAGGTCAACACCCTGAAATGAAATTTAAACCAATTAATCAGTTAGATTTTTACTGCTTGTCCGTGTTTTCTCAGCAATTCCCACAGCACGTAGCCTTTGATCAATTCTGCAAAAGCTAAAATGTGTGCCTGCTGCTAGCGAGATGGGAATGACATTAACATGGCACTCATAAAACAATCAGAGCAGTGAAACCCTCAAACAGAACAGGGCACAGTAATATTTAATAAAAGCAGGCACATAATCTTCAGAAATTAGCATTTTGTGCCTTGCTGTACCTTTGGGAGAAGAGCTTTTATTTGTGGAGTGATCATTATTATAACAAAGAACAGCTACCTAATAATTTCCACTTTCAGTTGGCAATATGCTATGAGCATTTCTGAACAATTATGCTAAACTGAGGCAGGGTAATCATTTTATTGTCACTGTTTGAAGAGAGGAAATTCTCTATCCACAGTGGCTACAAAAATGGGAGAAAACCCCACAAAGGGCAATGTAGTTTGTGACAACAACTTTGGGGAAGCCCTTGTACTTTAAGTGGCATTTGCTTTGTGCCTAAAAACGCAAGTGGAAAAAAAAAAAACAAGCCAGGTTCTTAAGGCCGGAACTGGCTTGTGCATTTGCTTCCCTTTCCTTGATCTAACATGT